CTTTAATATATCAAATGTTTTAACTGGAAATATTAATCAGCAGGCACACAATTTTCCTCAGAAAATGTAGCTCTTTCTAGTTTACAGTGTTCCCGTTAAGACACCCGCACCAATCTGCTATGTGTTGCTAAAGTCTAGCATCTGATTTCCATCTGTTTGGCACAATAAACCAAAATGTGGTATTATTATAGGATCTTTTATTAGTGTGTCTGTTGCAGTGACAGGATTCAATACTTACTTCTTTTTTTTTTTATCGGGTACTGAATATTGTGTATATTGATTATTTTAATACCCATATGTTTAAACTATATGTGCCATTATCATGGTAACCTGTAAGTTGAAGAGTATGAGGCACAAGTGGCTTGGGCAAAAATCATTTTCACTTTCTCCTACATCTAGAGACTGAAAGTAGCAATGAAAGTTTGAATAAGATCTATATCTGAATAAATCTGTTATTTTTTCCACCTAGTAACTTCTTCTCACTTTCACAAGTGAAACCACAGCACGCTCTTTCTATTATACTGTATGTGGTTTTTCACACGTGTGACGTTTGTCGTATTTGTCAGTTCTGATGCCTGTGACTTTTAAAGTTAGCGAAATGCAACCTGTCTTCTGACTGCAGTGAAGACAGTCATCTCTTTGTCTTTACAAGAGTACATTTCATGTTTAAGGTGGTGATGGTGGCCACGTAGAGATGTCCCCAGCTGACGTGCAGGATCGTGGATAGTTGCTGATAATCTTTGGATAGACCCTGTTGGCTAAATAAATTCTGAACCACTTCTGATCCTTTGTTTGTTTGCTCCATGTCTGGCAGTTGTCAAAATGCCCCCTTTGAGCCCTGTTACAACACACGAATATCTCCTGCACAGTGTTTTGTTTGCGTGTGAAACACAGAGCACAGCAAGCTGTTGGAGGGTCAGTGGGTGGTACCCAGTCTAGTTCAGTTTGTGGTGTATTTCTTTTCTGTCACTTTCAGATCTTTCCCTTGTTTAAACAGTGTCAGAAATCCAAGCATGCAAAGCTAAAAGAGCAGATGTGAAGGTGTGAGAGAAGTGTGCTGAATCTCCATGAGGCATTTTCTGAGACTCTACATTGACAAAAGTTAAAATGTCCATAACATTGCAAATATTACAATACATAAACAGATCCTTGTAGAGCTTGAGCTATTACTTTTGAAATCCTATTTTAAACATATCATCCAGTGGTTAACATTTCAAATGATTTCAGTTATTTGAAATAGTGAATGTGACTTGACCTCACAGCTGGGCAGGACGGAAGGATTAGAGTGATGATGAGATGTTGATGTTGAGTCTGTTCAGTCAGTTCGGACGCTGGACTTGTTGTCCATGTTAGCATTTGATCTGATTTAACCTGACACAGACACTTCTGTGACAACTAGACTTCCATGAATGTTAACAAAATGAATTCTCAGGATTTTAAGTTAAGAAATGCAGGGTCAGTTTGTCATGGTTGGCAGGATTGAGATGGATGTACAGCACCTTGAAGGTACAGGATCATTCATCTTTATACAGTACAGTACCTCAGATATCATGGGTCCGATTTTGCCAGATCCTGTTGAAATGAAGCATCTAACCACTTTATTCCATTATTTTCAAAATTATGCTAAGTCCCAAAAGTATGCTACAATTACCCTGCATTTGGTAATAGATTGTTTTCCTGTAATTTACTGTGGTTTGGAGATATTAATTTGTATCTTACAATACAGTTGTATAGTCAGTTTACTGGTAATTTGGTACTGTGGTACCAAAATAGTGTGGTAATCTACAAGGTGCAAAAGGGAAGGACACACCTGTTTTTGTATGTGTTATTGAAGGGTAGAGTGTTACACTCTCCGCTGCCATCTTTTATGCAGCGTTCTCTTATTGCATCTCTCTAAGGATGTTAACCAAAGTTTAGAGGTTACTGTCCTGGCTGGAACACCAGATTTACCATAAGATTTCGGCGTATATGTCGGGTTAAGGAGGTATTTGTGGTATCGTCTGCAGAGTGTCTGGTAGACTCAGGCTGGACTTGTTTTTCTGGCAGAGTGAACAACAGTTTCTCTCATTCCTCTGCTGTGGGCGTTTGGCCTGGCCAGCTAAAAGGCACTAGCAGCAGCTGGACAGGACATACACTGTACTCCATCGATGACCGAGGAAACAGAAAAGGTGGCTGGAGAGGAGGGGGGAGACAGAAGCGGGGGAGAGAGGCAGACAGACAAGGTGACAGAAGACACAAAGCTGTGGCAGGGAGAACAGATGCAAGCCTTATTTCCGCCATAATTTTTTTTCTGTCCTTTTAGGTTGTAGGCTAATGGCAATGACATATGTGATGGGATTAGAACTCAGCTGGCTTCAACTGAATGAGTGGTGAAAGCGTTTGTCCGTTGTTATGTATGACTTTGAAGGTTTTTCCATACACGCACTATAGATTATCATAGTAAGACTACATCCATATAGCTGTGAATGGTTTGTGTGAAGCTTTTATCAACCAAATCTAATAAACATAATTGGTTCATTTGAAAATATTAATCAGTTGAATATTATCCGAAATGATTATTAGGGCAAACATGTCAATACCATTTCTGAACAGCCACTTTTGGAGGCGGGGTGAAAAGCCAGCCGTGATATACTGGCACCTGAAACCCCGACTAGTTGCCCCTAGACGCTGCAGTGTAGCACTGAACACTAAACAGATAAAGTTAGCAGCTAGCTGTTGAACATAGTTGAGCATTTAACAGCTAAAGAGCTAAATATTTCCTTGCAAGAGTTGGTGAAGACTAAACTAGAGCTAATAGGAGAGTGGATATTGGACTTATATTCATCAGGTGACATGACTCTAAATTAATGCTAATGTTGCTCTGTATCCTCTGGATGTGTAAATAATTGTTCAACTCTCAAGTTTGCTCAACTTTAAAGATAATATAACAGGGATGGGTTTACATCTTAATTTCTGCTTCCTCCAAGTTGCCAAAAAAATATCAGATTTTGGCTAAAAATGTAAGTGTCCGGAGGTGCAAGAGAAATAGCCTTAGTATCATGACAATTAGAAGGCCCTTTTTCCTCTGCTGGTCAAGAATGTGCTCAGTGATAGTCCATGGCATCTATTTTGTATTTGGTTATATTTCTTGCTCTGGAACAAAGTACTGGAAACTAATATTACCTTTCACAGGCTTGGCAAAAACAAGACCATGACGCTCTGAATGCCCTACTTCTCTGTCTATGTGGTACCTTTTCCTCCTTTATTTCTCCCATTTCTGTTGGATTTGTAAGCACGTAAAAAATCAGATCATTGCCCAACAAGTATCGTAATCTTTTGGCAGTCTCCCAGAAAGAACTTCGTTTTTCTTTGTTTGTCTGGCAGTTGTTTGTTATTCTCCATGTGTGAGGGGAAAAAGTGAGTTGGAGTGCCCTCAGACCTGTTTGTGGGAGTGAGGCATGATGACATGGTTAGAGAGGGAATAGGCTTCGGTCCTTTGGGAGGAAAGGGGGGGGGGGTTAGGCGGGGGCTGGAATACTGATGCACCACAGGTTTTTGCCATTAAGCTCTGTGCTTTTATCACTATAGCAAGACCTTGCCATATTTTAATATATGTTTGTTCCCAATAAGAGGTTCAAAGTTAATCTCTATAGACTTGGAGTGGATTCACAGGCAGCACAAAGTTCAGGTTGAGACATATGTCAAGGGCTCATATTTGTCTCAAGAGACAAATATGGTAACAGTAAAGCATCTGTGTTTTTCTCACAACAAGGAGAGGGGAGCTATGCCATGATCTCTGGCATTATGTTGATCTAACATAGGCTTATTGGACATTACAGAAAGTGAAAACAATAGCAATGTGTTCTGAGCACAAAAAAAAAAAAGAAAAAGATTTTCCCCCTAGCTGTACCCCTTCGCTGAGGCACTGTGTTTTTGAGTCAGCTGGGGAGAATTTAACATTGTTATCTAGCTGTCTTTCACTTCGTCTTTAATTATTTCCAGATGTTCCATCTGATTGCTATTGGCAACCTTTGCGTCTTTAGCGCCATGTGTTTGAAATATGAGCGGAGCCTTGGTTGGCACAAGGGTGTGGGGGTAAAATACACGGTCAGACATTCTCATCGTATACATGACTTTCTAAAGGAAAAGAGATGTTTGTTGCCTCACTCAAAACTCAGCGCTGTGTGGGTTTTTTTTTTTGCCACCCTGACTTCATGTGAGATGGGTGTATCTGTGATTAACATCCTGGATTTGTTTATGTGGTTCATACGGACGTTAAATGCAAATAAAGTTTATACACAGGAAGATCACAGTCTGTGGTGAAGCTGTTAACCACCTGAAAGCTTGTGGCTGAAGAATCAAGACATTCTGTATCATGCAAGAGCTAATGTGGATCTTAAGTGCAATCCTCTTCATATTAGTGAATCTGTGTTTAAGTCAAGTCAATCACTGAACTGTTCATTGCAGCTTACTGTGGAGAAGACACAACACAGATAGAGACCCAACAGATTGGGCTTCAGTGCCTTTGCACCGTGCTGTTCTGCTTGATTGACGGAGCTCAGTCACTGTTTTTTTTTTTTTGTTTTTTTTTTTTTTGTAGTTGTGACTGCTGTGATGAAATGAGAGCACAGAGAGAGAGAGTAAAAGAAAGCAGTCTATAGATGTTCAGAGAAAAAACTACTGTACATTATAGGGGACTGAGAAAAACAGCATTTACGTACATTGATGTAAAATTTGTTGGCAGACGTTGCTTTTCAGAGTGAGTATTTACTGTGCTGTACACATCAAAAAATATATCAAAATATTCAAGCCAGCCCACCACCAACACCAACACCATGCATCAATAACAATGACTTTTTCTCTTGAGTATATCATTATGACCACGGGACATCACTGTACACTAGATGAAAGTGCATACAAGCTTCACATAAATAAGTCGACATCATGTGAGACAGGGCATTTGAATCCCGCACGTGCTGTTGCCTTTAGTACTCACATTATTCTCTTGTTCATCACTGCAGGGCCTTTGTTTCGCAGCCCATGTGAGCTGCTGCCGGTGGGGATGGGACACCCGGTGCAGGCCTCGTTGAAAAGCTTCACCGCCCTATCAGGCTGTGCAAGCAGGGGCACCGCCAGCCTCCCTCAGGAGGTCCACATCATCAACCTGAGAGGACATGCTCCAGAGGGACCAGACAACACCCCGGCAGAAGTGAGTCATCTCTAGTAAAAGACACTAAACTTGTGTTATATTTGCTACTGCCATAATTAACTCTTCAGTTAAGATCTGAGCTTTCGAGCCAAAATAGAACAGGAGAGAAGCATTTGAATATTCTCTAGATGCATATTTACTCTCATTATTCATTCATTCATCTGGTGACTTTATTGTTCAATCCGATAAAGAGTGCAAGATTTGCTGCACTTGAACTCTCCGCTGCCTTTGTTTGCTCTGTTTCATCAATCAGTGACTCTTGATAATGGGCAGCCATTACCAAGAGTCCAACAATCCTTTTTCCCTCTTGCTTAGAAGAAGCATCTTGGCCAGAGGAGTAAAGGCCTCACACAGAGAATTTCATTAACCCGTCCACACGAGTACTGTAGTTGGTGAGCTACCAGCTAACATACTAGCAAGCCGAGAAAAATGCTAATGTTAGCAGTAGTCAGTCACAATAGATGTCCGAGCTTCACTGGAACTGACACGTTTTTTTTCCCTTGAAAGTGTACACCGTTTCAGTCGACAAAGAAAGAAGGAAAAAAGCTCTGTGAGCTAGCAAGTTTATTAATTGCTGGTTAGCAAATTCAGTAAATTTAAACAGTAAGTTCAAACAGTTTACTCAATAGAAACAGTGTATCCCACTCTATGTTTGTAATATGTTTGTAATAATATCCTGTCTGCAAATCATTCCTCTGCTGTGGAGTAGTTTATAAAAGGAGGTTAAATAAGAGTGGAAGGTGCTACACAGCTAATAAGCAACAATAGCGTCCTCCATTTTGGACCCTATGGCTATGCGTTACCCTCAGCCTCACCATCAGTACAGCTTCCTATTAGTCAAAGGCACAATACTTTGTGTCAAAGTTCCCCAATGATGAACTGGACCCTGTGAGTGATTGTTGCAGCTTTATTGAAATGTATTTATTAACAGCAAAATGTTATCATTTTATAATGCTGGAGACCTACATTGGAGAATCCACAAGCCAAACCTGATGGTCACTTGGGCTTTACCTTATCTAATGCATAACTTTCCAGAGGGTGAAAGAAGAAGAAAATGGTTGGTACTTTCCAACCATTTACTTGTTTTGTGCAGGTCTGTTTAGTGCACTCATTCAAACTGTCAGCACATTTCCTAATAGTGTTCCAAACGTTGTGTTGGTTTTTAAACCACTCCCTGTCCTCAGGTGTTATACAGCATGTCTCGTGGCATGACTCCCCAAAGTTCGTCATAGTTTGAAGATGAATCATGGGCCCACGGCCTTCGAAAATGCTGTGTCTGTACTTTAAACTGTCCCAAGTTCCCACCCCCCTCCATCACAGCAGTGAGAAAAGCTGCATGTATAGACTTGCCAATGCAATTTTGCTGCTGATGTATGCTCAAACGTTTCCAAATACACAGAAACACAGTGGTGTGTGTGAGTGTGCTGCATCAGCAGGTAAAGAGAGAAATTACCCTCCGGTTTCAGTGGCTGTGCTTGTTCTGAAGCTTTACAACATGAACTCAAATGATCATTTCTGTGATCATAATAATGAAAATGTAATGATCTTTTTTGTAATCTGTCACGTTTAGTGTAATGTAGTAGTTGAAGCAGTTACAGGGCTTCTTATACATTTGAGATTTGTTGAGCTGAGCCGTAGGTTTCAGCATTGACATTGAGATGGATACATACTCTTCCCTGCTTTATAGTAACTAGCAAAGTTTACTTTATGAGTTATCACAAAGACAAATCCAGCTGACAATCTGTATTTATTTAATTGTAATGTGGTCTATGGTTGTGCACGCATACACTGCATGGGGAATAGCCAATCAGATTTCTTTCAAATACAAAGAAAAAAGTTAGTGGCTTGAAATGCACTTTATGCATCTAACTCTAAAAGGAAGACTTTTATCGTCTTCCTTTTAGAGTTAGATGCTTAACTTCTAAAAACAAAGAGTTGCTTGTGGAAATAAATTCTGCCAAAGATGATTTGTAATAAAAACAGGAACTCTTTCTCTTCAGTTTGATCCTCTGAAAATAAATAAATAAATACTTTTTTCTAGAAACAAAAATATGTCAGTGTTGTTGTGTTGTTGAGCTCCAATAGGAGGAAGGACAACACAGCATTGTCTGTTTGTCTGCCTGTCACAGAGATACAGTGTATAATGAGAGACTTGTTTTCCATTGGCTAGTTGGTTTACAGTTGGCCTAATGCTAAGTTGCTTTGAAAGTTGGTGTTTTTCTAAGTAAGATGTACTGTTCCTGGTGTAAACTTTGTATAATTTCCCCCAATATGTCAGTGATTTTGTCACATCAGAACACGGCTTTTAATGCATGGATTTGGGTGGTGTACGTATCACCACTTAAATCAAAACATATTCTCCTCTGAGTGTTTTGCTGTGTTTCATCTAACTGCAAATATAAGTAAGTAAGCAAGCAAAGTGTATTTGCATGGCACCTTTCACAGACACAAAATCAAAAAGTGCTTTACATCAATAAAAAAAGCAAAAAAGTTCCAAACACAGACAGAGAAATAGACCAATAAAAAGCAATAAAACGGAGCAGCTATTCAGACAAGCTAACCTAAATCCTGTTGGAATAAAAACGTTTTCAGCTGCTTCATAAAGATGTCACAGGAGTCTGGGGATTACAATGATAAGTTGAGAGCATTCCATAAATCGGGTGCAACAGCTTGAAAAGCACTGTCACCTCTGGTTTTATAGCAGGTACGAAGGACAGCCAGTAATTTTTCTTCAGCAGATCTGAGAGCCCCATTGGCCGTATAAGGGAGGAGGAGGTCAGCAATATACTGGGGTGTTTGACCAGGCAAGGCTCTAAATATTATGATTATGAAAATTATGATTTAACGCATATAGATATTCACAAAAAAACACATTCAAAACAAACCGAATTGGGTTTTGTTTGCACCTGCGGTCAGATAAGATAGCTGGTTGCATGCATTCAAACCCTCAGGTATTTCTCTGACCGCCTGTCTGACTGGCCTTTTATGAGACAGATGATTGAGTGCAAGGCAAAATGAAATGCAGGAAGGATCCTTCCTGTTATTAAAGGACACGGCAGAAAACCAAACAATCATAACCATATTTTAGTAGAAATGAAAGCTGTCCCAGCCCATGACACTGACTGGCTAAATCTTGTTTTTACTTGCTCTTGAGAGACCCCTCTGCTGATAGTGATGAACCAAATAATGGTTCATAGATACAGTAAACTGACAACGGCTGTAAAACTGATTTTTGTATGCTTTTGTTTGCTACTTTGTCCAAAGTAAATATTTTTCAGTCTTCTACAGAGTTTATTTATCAGGATTTAAAGCAGAGTGGTGCAACAATGAAGAAAAAGTTTGACTTTCTACTGACTTAGCTGCAGTTTTAGGAGCTTTATGCTTTTCCATTGTGTAACCGCTTTTTTGTTTGCACAACACGCAAAGAAAGTGAGTGGAGTGGAATTTTCTTTGTAAAATTTAGTATAGAATAATTTGCTCTGTAAATCTATAAATGGTCACTCATAGCATTACTGTTATGGATAGACCAATAAAACTTTTAGTTTGAGAGGCTGTAAAATCCATCTATTCTCATCAATTCATCTACTTTTTTCTGAACCATCACGTCCATTGTCAAGTGAGGACTTATGCGGAGGAGGCAGCGATCCAGCTGTCCGTTCCCTTGCCTACAGCCTTGGCCGCAGAAGGTCACTCCAGCTCTGGCTGAGATTAGGTGGCCCTGCAGAAGCTCATTCTGTGAGTGGAGGATTCAGCTTGTGATTAGATAAGAACCCCTAAAGGACACTCACACACTCTCTCCACTCCTCGCGCTCCAGTCCTTGATGACTTTTTCACCTGAGACGTGGGCACAGATTGGCCTGTTCAGATACACGCGGCCTCTTCCTAAGTGCTTAGCCTTCACCAAGACTGCGTTGAAGTTGAAGGGCACACAGTGCGTCAAAGTGATAATCAAGTGGAAAAAGAAATAATTGCAGAAAAGGAACAGGCTCTTAAAATGTTTAACACTCTTGACAGATTTGGGCATAGATGCTCTCACCTAAAAGGACGTTAATGCTCTTCATTCTTTAACTTTGACCAATGGGAATCTTCAGCATGAAACCTGCTCCTTATTTATGGAGCATTTGAAAGCAAATAAAGTTAGCTGTAGTCAGTTTGGATTCACAACAGTTACAGTGGATTCTGATGGCAACTTGGTTTCATGGTGAAATTAATTATCAAAACTTCTCAGGCCATTCTTGCAGCATTATCCATTTCTCCTCTGCCTGTCTGAAAATTTATAGCTAAATAAAAAGGTTTTGTTTGCTGCCAATGCAGTTTTTGAGAAATCTTGTCAGTGAAAAAATGATCTTAGTGCCATAGATCATCTTAAATGAAGTTGCTTTAGGGAAATGGCGCTGATGACTGTAAATAATAATGGTGGGAGTAATATATTCAAACAGGAATCTTTCATTTTCAGTTGCAATTGAGGCCATTTTCTTAATTTTAGTGTTTTAATCCATTTGATCCTTTGATTTGGAAGCATGCAAATTGATTTCACTCTCAGTAATGGGTCTTTTCCCTTGTTTGCTCTGGCACATGTATCCTTTGTTTATTTTTTAAGTCAGCACAGAGGTGCCTGGTCAATCAGCGATTATGTAGATTTTCTCTGACTTTTCCTCACCTCTGCTGATGGGGAGGAAGTGGTGTCTGGGCCACAGAACAGACTGTATTTGGATGTTTTGAGCGATGGCCTGTAGTACAAGAGGTGCCTGTGGCTGAGCTTTGGCCGTCTGGGTTGAGGGGCTTCTGGAGAACACGATGTGCCCCAGTGACTGCTTACCAAGTGCCGGCAAGGAAAAGCTTTGACCCGGTAGGGGTATAAATCTGCTATTGCACATGGTGTTCATGGACTAATATGGATAAGGGGGGATCACATGGTCAATTTCAGACACAGTCATACACACGCAGGCACACACGGATCCCAGCAACTGCGATGTGTGAGGCCCACTTCACATCTCTTT